ACAGAAGGTGGAAGGGATTTACGTTAAACTGAGATAAATGCATAGGAAGGAAGCAGCACAAACCGTGTTTAAAAATGAAAACAAAACTAACCTCAGCTATATGGTATGTAATGTATGCTTGATGGCCTTTTGCAGTGGAGAGTTCTGTTTTAATGGCAGCTCTGTAAATACTGACTTCTCTCTGTTGACTTTTCGGCCAATGCATTCTTGGGAAACTAGTTTCAAGTTGCAACCATAAATCATTGCTCCAATTTCTTACCATGAGTCTCCTTTAACTATTTATGTTTTCCTATTGTGCCTATTACATCACAATGTGCCTATTACTAGTGCTCCAAAGTAAGCCCACTTGAGTTCAGTTCTCCTAGAAAAGTGTGTATATAGTATTGCAGTCCAGCTGCAGGGTGACTTTTTGGGGGTCTTCTTTCTATTTTTCCTGTAAAAAGGTTAAGCGATCATATCATTACATTGATGTTTCATTAAGCTACAACCACCAGTATAAAAGAAGCTTCCTTTTTTGTAATTAGGAAACTAGTAATAACAAACAACTGCATTCATGATAGTCTAGCCTTTGCTCATATGTGGAAAACCTTTAAACATCTTATTGGGTCACTGCCTTTTTCAGCTTAGGTCAGTTGAATTTCAAGTGGAATGTGATCTTCATCAGCCCATTTATATGGGGATTCTTGGCATTTTTTAACTATTTGGTACTTTAAAAATCAGTAGTAAATGTGAGTAACTAAACTTGGTAGGTTCAGTTAACTTGAAGACTTTTAAGCGTAAGAAAAGCCCTACAGAATCAGACCAAATGTCCATCTTGCCACTTACGGTACTCTGTTTCCAACAGTGGCTTGCTGAATGCTTCTGGGAACCTCACCAGCAGGGATGAAGGCAACATCCCTTTCTGTTGTTTCTTCCCCAACTCCTGGAATTCAAAAGTAGACTTTCTCTGAGTTTGGTATTTCCATATTGCTGTCATAATGAATAGCAGTTGATAGAATTATAATTCATGGATATAATCTCCATTTAAAGTCATCTGTGGCACCATTACAAACCTGTGGCTGTCAAATTCTGTATGTCAGTTGTTATATATGGTATGAGAAAGTCCTTTTATATTTGTCTTTTCCGAATTTGCTACCCATCAGTTTCACTGTACGTTTCCATATTCTTGTCTTATATGAAAGGGAGGGAAAATGTCTCTCCGCACTGTGAAACTTCTTAATATTTTTAGCTTTACACAAAACCAATGGGAGGTGTCAGTCAGAGAATTGGAGCACAATGCCACCAGTATGTGGACACACCCAGCTCTATTTCTTCATACCATCTGAATCAGGAGAGTGCAAGTGCTGAAACAGTGCCTGGAGGCAGTGATGAACTGGATGAGGAACAATAAACTAAAGCTGAATCTTTATAAGTCTGAGACTTGTTCTTGGGCTTGCAAATTAGGCAAACAGCCCATTCTGATGGGGTAGCACTTCCCATAAAAGAACAGTTCTCAGAGTGCTCACGGGCCACTGTGGCTAGGAGTGCCTCTGCTCCCCTGGTTCACCAATTATGGCTCCAGTTGGCTGCAGTTACCCATGCTTCCATGAGCTCCCAATTTAACTAATGTAATACATTCTTTGGCAGTGTTCAAAGTTTCCCAGGCGCTACTGACATGGGTCCAGTTGCAACTGTATGGAGATTTCTGGGTGCCAGGATGGTACCCACAGTTTAAAAACCTCTGCCTTAGTCCTTAGTTAATACCATTTCCACTTCCGCTGTGTGTGTTTCTCTTTCTTGCATACTGGGACAAGTGAATTGTTGTAAGAACAAGCTACAGTCAAGCAACGTAGTTGAGATCATTAAATTGTAATGTTGGAAGGTACCCTGAGGGTGATCTAGTCCAACCCTCTGGCGAATAGATAATTCTGTTGCAGCAACGGTAACCTACGTTTAAGCTGTCATCTGGCACGTGGCTTATATAAGTTTCTAACACTGCTCTATATGGGGCTTCCCTTGAAGATGAGCTGCCACAGAATGCTTCTGCTTGGTTGTTGTGTAAGGCATTGATATGGACGCACGTTGCAGGGATTCTGAAAGCACTATATTGGCTGCCACTGAACATCAAGCCCAATTCTGGGTGCTGGTAGTAGCATACAGGGGAAGCCTGACTTGTGCTGCCTTCAATGAATGTGATCTAGACAGGTCACTTTATGAAACGGGGCCTTCTCAGTGGGCTAAGGCCGTGGAGCTCCCTTGCTGCTGAAATTGGACTGTTCTGCAAATTATATGAGCTCAGATAGCAATTCAAGTTGCTCCAACCAATCGTTGGAGCATAATAACAGTGACATCATCTGTATTTGTACTTGCATTTCTTTAATTAAATTTAATGCTGTCTGCTGTACTTTTGGACTGCACTTTTACTTTGCTTTTAGTTATATACCTTTTTGTTAGCAGACCGGGCTTGTGAGAGGTAAGGGGAAATATAATAGATAACATAATGATAATGCTGTGCATTTTGATTCATTTGCCTAAGCTGCATGCTGTGCTATGGCCTAGCAAAGAGAGCAAATTTTCAGTCTTCAGACATTCACCTTGAGGTCTCTGTTGATAGCAGAATCTGCCAAACTCTCACTGTTCATCAGTTTTCTTTCAGAAGGTGGCACTGGTGAAATAGATGAAATGTGTGTAGTTTAGTCATGCACAGAAAAACTAGTATGGGAGTGTTACGGAGACTGCTTTTTTAAGTATAGAGGAGTATCAAAAATATTATTCTCCACCTGCAGTCTGAAGTGATACAGTAAATTCAAGAACACGCTAGTTAGAACCTTCTCTCTGCTGTGCTACAGGAAAGTGTTACAAAGCAATGTTAGCATTCTGTCTCTTTTCGCCTCCCTTCTTTCCTTTCTCACACTCCAGAACTTGTACAGGCACTGTAATCTTCCTTTCTGTTGTCTTCTTCCTGCAAATGTAAGGAAACTATCGGTTTCTGAATAATACAGCTAGAGTCTCTGGTGTCATCATTTTGTTAAGGTGCACTAGCCAATGCACCAGTGTTGTCACAAACTTGTCAAGGCAAAGGGCAAGTAAGCCTTTCCAAAATGCCTGGTGCTATTTTTGTTGTGGTCAGAAAAGCTCTGCTTTGTGTTTCTGTTAGGGGCAATGCTTCGCTACACTGTATTCTCTCACTTCTTTGATTGCATTAAAATAAATTCTCTTCCTGGCTGGGAAGAAGCATCATTATATTGTTACAGGTGGCAGCTGCTGCTCTCTGATGTTTCTTTTTGTGTCATTGTTTCTGTTGTGGAAAGCAACATGGGGCCATATACAGCTGAGTCCTGCACAGCGTAGACCCACAGAAAATTAATGGCCCTAAGTTAGTTGTGTTCATTTACCGTATTTTTCGTCCCATAGGACGCTCCGTCCCATAGGACGCACCTAGTTTTTTTGGGGGGGGGAAATAAAGGAAAAACTTTTTTCCTTTATTTCCCCCCCCAAAACCAGGTCGGGGAAACGGAACCAGGTCGAGGACCAGCGGGATGGCGGCGCTGCGCCTCCCTGCTGTACCCCGAGCTTGTTGGGCTGGCCGATGTCTGCCCGGCGCGCGGGGCGCTCTGCGTCAACGCGCCCGGCCCGCCGGGCGGCAGGCTGCTATCCGCAGCGTGGGGAGCCCTGCGGGGAACTCCCGCAGGGCTCCAACATGCGGCAGATGTCTGCCTGGCGCGAGGGGTGCTCTGCTTCAGGACGCCCCTCGCGCCAGGCGGCAGGCTGCTATCCGCAGCGTAGGGAGCCGTGCGGGAACTCCCGCAGGGCTGCCTAGGCTGCGGGTGTGTTCCCGAAGCGCCAGGCGCTGTGCTTTCAGCGCGCCCGGCGCTCCGGGAAGCAGGCTGCTATCCGCAGCCTAGACAGCCCTGCGGGAACTCCCGCAGGGCTGCCTAGGCTGTGTATGTCTTCCTGAAGCCTGGAGAGCGAGAGGGGTCAGTGTGCACCGACCCTTCTCGCTCTCCAAGCTTCAGCGAAAGCCTGCATTCGCCCCATAGGACGCACCCAGATTTCCCCTTCATTTTTGGAGGGGAAAAAGTGCGTCCTATAGGGCGAAAAATATGGTAATTTCAGTGGGTCTACATTTGATACAACCCACATAATCCAGAAACTGTATGAAAAGCTGTGCTGGGGCTCTGTCTCCGATGACTAGAAAGAAATGTGCTATGGCATTCTGGGTGTTCAGCAGTCTCTGCCCTTTCAGCATGCAAAAAGCATCCTGGGCTCTGAGCTTGCACTGGATGGAGCAATAGCTAGTGGAGAGAAAGCTTGGTGAACTAGTGTTTAGAGTGCTAAAGGAGGACTGGGAAGATGTGGATACAACCCCCAATTTAGCCATGAAACTCACCGGGGGGCTTTGAGTCATCATTTCTTAGCCTATAACTAACCTTCCAGGGTGGTTGTTGGCGGGTGATTGTGTGTGAGTGCCGAGAACTATGTATGCCAACTCAGTGGCCTTGGAGGAAGAGTGGGATGAACTGGTAAATAATGGGCAGTTGAGAAAGGGGCCTGGTACTTTCATGACCACCTCTGAATGGGTGAAAGCTATAGCTGTGGGAGTGGTATTATTTATTTATTTATTTATCCATCCATCCATCCATCCATTCATTTACAAACAACATTTACCATATTTTTCGCTCCATAAGACACACTTTTTCCCTCCTAAAAAGTAAGGGGAAATGTGTGTGCGTCTTATGGAGCGAATGCAGGGGGGAGGCAGGCAGGAAAAGCCCCCAAGAGCCGCACACAAGCTCCGTGCAGCTCTTGCAGGCTTTTCCCCCGGAGGGCAAAGGGCCAGTCATTCCCTTCTCCCTCCTCGTAGAAAAGCCCACAGGAGCCGCGTGCTCCTTAAAGGGTGCGCGGCTCCTGTGGGCTTTTGTGGGAGGTGGGGGAATTGCCATAGCCGCGCGCAGCCTCTCCCGGCCTGAGAGGCTGTGCGCGGCTAAAGAAGCCAAGACAGTGAGTGGGATCCATCCCGCTGGCTGTCTTGGCTTCTGCCATAGCCGTGCGCAGCCTCTCCCGCTCGCTGTCTTGGCTTCTTTAGCCACGCGCAGCCCCTCCGGCTGGGAGAGGCTGCGCGTGGCTATGGCACAAGCCAAGACAGCCAGCGGGATGGATCCCGCTCACTGTCTTGGCTTCTTTGGGGCTGGGGGGGGGATAATATTTTTTCCCTTGATTTCCCCCTCTAAAAACTAGGTGCGCCTTATGGTCCTGTGCACCTTATGGAGCGAAAAATACGGTATATGCCACCCCAAAACTTAAAAGCAATGGGCCGGGCAGGGGGGAACCATAGAACCAGCAACAGGAGGGCATAGCAAAACTCTCAGGAGGCACCAAAAATTTCCCAGCTCTTGAAAGATCAAAAATAGGCAAATTATTTAAAAACCTAGGGATAACTGCCCCCTTTATTTTAGTTCCAGAAAGAGCACTGTTGCTTCTGAGAGTGGTAGAGATGTGTGAGTTTATGTCAGTCTTACAAATAGTACTTTGACATGCTGCATTGCTCAGTCTTGGAGCATGTAACAGTTTCACTTCCTCTCCCAGAGAATTTAAAAAAGCAAAAAATAAAAAAGAAGCCAGCCGCTAAGAAAAGGGATGTGCTAATCATGCTAAATAGCTGAAATGTTTTACATTATAGAAAGTGCCTCAGGACTGTGACCTGTGAGAGGAATTGAAAAGCATGTGGTAAATTTTGGCAGCTCAGTGTTTGAATTTCACCATTGCTTTTTAGAGCCCCAATTTCCTGCACATATGAATGTAGCAATCACCACCAAATCAGGAAGACTTGAGTAAAATGCAGGGAATTCATGTCTTGTGATAATATTCGAGCATGCACTCACCTGTTCTCCAAAATGATGCTTGTCAGAGGAAGATTGCACCATATGCTATTTCAGGACTTACAGATTGACTCCAAAATCACCTCCCTTAAAGAATGTGTACATATTTGGCATAGTTTGTGCCCTGTGCTAAACCATGGTTTGTTTAAATGTCTAAACTCAACCCTGCAGACCAATCATTGCTTGTTTTCTGGCAACAAACAATGGTTTGCCGTTGGCTTAAGAATCATCCCTTATTTTAACTATAAAGGTAAAGGGCCATTAGGTCCAGTCGTGACCGACTCTGGGGTTGCGGTGCTCATCTCGCTTTATTGGCCGAGGAAGCCGGCGTACAGCTTCTGGGTCATGTGGCCAGCATGACTAAGCCGCTTCTGGCGAACCAGAGCAGCGCACAGAAACGCCGTTTACCTTCCCGCTGGAGCGGTACCTATTTATCTACTTGCATATTGATGTGCTTTCGAACTGCTCGGTTGGCAGGAGCAGGGACCGAGCAACGGGAGCTCACCCTGTCGCGGGGATTCGAACTGCCGACCTTCTGATCAGCAAGTCCTAGGCTCTGTGGTTTAACCCACAGCAACGTTAATGTCCAAACTCAACAGCTATGCTTAACCATGGTTTCTTTGACTACTCCACCTCAGACTCTTGCTAAGCTACCAAAGTATGAGGCAAAATACAGTGGTGCCTCGCAAGACGAAATTAATCCGTTCCGCGAGAGTCTTCGTCTAGCGGTTTCTTCGTCTTGCGAAGCAACCCTATTAGCGGCTTAAGGGATTAGCGCTATTAGCGGTTTAGCGGCTATTAAAGGCTTATCGGCTTATCGGATTAGCTGCTAAAAGGCTATTAAAGGCTTAGCGGCTTATCGGATTAGCTGCTAAAAGGCTATTAAAGGCTTAGCGGCTTAGATAAAGGGGGGGGAAAGCGAAAAAAAAATCTCAAGACTCGCAAGACATTTTCGTCTTGCAAAGCAAGCCCATAGGGAAATTCGTCCTGCGAAGCAACTCAAAAACGGAAAACCCTTTCGTCTAGCGGGTTTTCCGTCTTGCGAGGCATTCGTCTTGCGGGGCACCACTGTACCTGGAAAACAAACAAAGCTTTGGAGAAACAAGCTGTGTCTTTTTCTTCATTGATGAAAAGAGTCTTCCTTTGATGGAGGAAGACCAGGGTCATCTCCTGATGTTTTGCCAACTGAGGCAAAGGGCAAGACAGTCCCCTCTTCATTCCTCATTTTCCCCATAAGATTTTATTAAAGCTCTTTCATAATACAATAAGATTAAAAAACCTAAATAAAAACAAAAGCAGAGAAAGCTCTTAACACTTGTCTCAGAAAGTGGTGGACCCTCCCATCTCTCACCTGGGAGCTTTCCTTTCTTTTCCCAGTCTCTCACTCTGGGAGGTCATCTCAGCATCCATCCATCCATCCATCCATCCATCCATCCATCCATCGCCTCTATGTGTGTGTGATCCTTGGACCCAATATACAGAAGCCTACTATATTGGCAGCTGAATCTTACTTCAGTACTGCTGATGGGATAGTATCGGGGTGTGTGTGTGTGTGTGTGTGTGAGAGAGAGAGAGAGAGAGAGAGAACGAACTGTTACTGCTACACTCCAGCACCTGCCACCTGAGACAATTGCTCACTCTACTACCTAACAGTAGGTCCGACCCTGATGAAGACATTGGAGAAAGGGCATCTTTTTAGATTCTATGCACTGAGAACAATAATCCATTCTGCCGTTACTTCCTTGGTAAAAAGATTAGTGTATAATCTGGCACTGGCACTTCATTTGTATGTGTGTGTGTCTGTGGTATTCTGGATCTGTGTTTTGTAGCTGAGGTTCAGTTACTTTCTGAAGAATAGATTTGCCTGTGTTATTTGGATATCTATACTGTTATGTATGCTGCTGTCTTTATTTCATATGCTCAAATATTCATACATTTTCAGAACTTTTTTAAAAATTGAAACTTGGTTTCAAGCATTCACAATAACAAGTAACAAGAGGAATGAACTTATTAACAATTTAACAGTACCTTCCATATCTATACATCCAATTTAAATAAAACACCCAACAAATAGAAAATAAAGAAATACACATCCTAGGTGTTTGTCTTGAGAATTCCTGTGAAAAGCCAGCTTATTTCTAGTCATCACTGATGTTGTCAAGAGGTGAATGCCTCCAGTACATCTTGTGATGTGAATGTTTTGGTAGTTAATATGGTCTGATGATTTGTTCATGTGATCTCAGATGGTATCATAAAGTACAAGAGGAATCTTGCCCTGGTTCATGGTGTCTGCTCTTTCTGTGAGATAGAATTCCATCTATGCCTCATTCTGCCTCTCCACTATTTTTTTTATTGTGTCGTGTGCAAAAGAAAGAGTTGGGAAAATGTACCTGTTAATTGTTCTGCATAAATCTTGTCAAGTGTGTCTATGAGTGTTGCAAGGAGAAGCAGCAAAATTAGTTTAAAATTATTATTATTATTATTATTATTATTATTAGCCACTTCAAGTCAAAGTGACTTAAACAAACATTAAATAAGCACAAACATACAAAGGGCCATAGATAATTAGAAGTCAAAGGCATGGTGAAAAATGAATGTTTTTGTCTGGTGCCTAGAGATAGGTAATGATGGTGCCAGGCAAGCCTCCCTGGGGAGAACATTCTACAAGCAAGGCACCACCACTGAAAATGCCTGTTCTTGTGTTGCCAACCTTTGGACCTCCTGTTGAGTGGGCACGTGAAGAAGGGCCTCAAATGATGATTGCAGGGTACAGGTTGGTTCATATAGGGAGAGGCAGTCCTTGAGGTGTTGCAATAATATAATAGATGCTATTTAGCAGTATCTTGGAAAAAACAATTCATTTGTGTTTAATTTGTGGAAAACATTCTGGCTTTGGGATTTCTTTGTAAAGATATCTCACGCCTGCCCAGTATTCAGCCAGTGAAACAGTCTCAAGTGAATCCTTGTTCTGACACACTGTGTTATTTATCCTTTGCTAAAAAGAACCCCAACAATCCATCACCCTCGATCTGAGACCAGTGTATTATATTCAGGGATGGTAGGGTTGGGGGTTTTTTTGGTAGCAGCTGCTGCTTTCTTCTCTATTCTAGACCAGCTTTAAGCCGTGCAGAACATCTGTGCTACTTTCCAGCTGCCATAGAATGTTTCCAAGAGTTCTTTCTTAGGTCTGGGTTTCAATAGCATATACCCTGATGTGGAACTGCTAGGACAGTGTCACAGATCTGTAGCAGGGCATTACTACCCTGCTAAGCTTATATAATAAATACTACAGATTGCATGTTTGATATGAGTTGGTGTTCTGATTCTTCAGAATAGAGCTGGCTGTAATTCAGAATAAATGAGAGCAACATAATGTACAGCTTGGCCACCTCATGCAGCTTTATTATTAAAACAATTCTCTTTTCTGCTGTCTTAAGCAAGGATTGAAGTGTTATCTGTACTGTTGGTAAAACTACAGATGATCAAGCATGCATGTTTAAAACTACCATTTTCTGGTTGTGGTAGCAGGATCTTAATATCCTTTTAACTATCTCACGTGGAAGGCTCAGCTGGCTCTGGCAGTCTGGTTTCTATGGTGATCTGCAATCTGGTTTTCCCTTCTCTCTGTTGTTGCAAGGAGATAGTGTTTTGGTTTCCCAAGCAGAGATTCGAAATGATATCGTGGCACGGCCTTATATATGAATGATAAATGATACCCAGCTCCTGTTTTTATTTTTAAAAAGCATTCATACCCTGCCCTTCAGCTGAAAAGGCTCTCAAAACAGCTTACAAAAATCAGTACAAATACGGTCTGTGACCTCAGGCTTACATTCTTAAAAATACATGACACATAAGGAAAAAGGATTGGGAAAGAAAGTTCTTAAAGTTACAGTTGTTATACTGCAGATATACAGTTTAGTTGGTGCAGATTCTGGCTGTCTAAATGAGCAGCCCCTTGCTGATTTCACTGGTCTGAAAATATCAGACTGGGCGGCTTACAGTACATATAAAAACACTTTAAAAACTTCCTGATACAGGGCTGCTGTCAGATGTCTTCTAAAAGTTGTGTAGTTCTTTATCTGCTTGAGATCTGAGTAGAGAGTGTATTCAACAAGTATTTCTGTGGCGTGTGTACTGCAGTGGTGCCTTTTCCCCAGTTTCCCCAGGGCCGGCCAATCCATGAACCAGCTGAGTCGGCCACCTCAGGCGGCAGGTTCCACTGGGGCAGCAGTTCCCAATGTAGATCCACTAATCAGAATGCCAAAGCAGC